TGAAGGGGATTAAGGTTAGATCAGGAATGACTTGATTTTTAAGTCATTGAACTACATTTTTTCCTGATGCTCAGGAATTCTTAATTTACAAACGTTCGTTTTTAGTTTAGTTGCACAGTACTGCTTTTCTATCCTTGGCATTTTCCATTTGTTTTTGCATATTAATATTTGGATTTTTCTATATGATTTTTCAAATTTTCACTGATAATTTTTGGTGCAGGATTTCAACCTTCTAATACTCCCATCACTTTTGCTGGCAGTAGATATTGAAAAGTACGAAAAGCTACAATAAGGTGTTGTCTTCTGGTTCACATTGCTGATCCTTAGGCAACACTTGCTATTTACCAAAGGATTCTGGTTGTAGTTACTTTCTCTAATTTTGCAGATAGCTCTTAATTTTTAAAGACACCACTTTCACTCCAACTTCTGGGCTACCCCTGAGCCTATTTGGTAGTTCTGAAGTGGGGAGAGTTAACGAGAGAGGAAGACTGAAGTCACAGTGTGATGTCTTAAAGGTGTTTCAAGGCTGCAGCGGTCGTAGTTGCCCATTGGAGATGCCAGTTGGAGAACATTGTTCTCATCTGTAGAGGGACTCTTGGACATTTTTTTGCTGCTATTGGGAATGATGATGAGAGAACAAAGGCATTTGTTCAAATTTCCCGGGGAAGTTTTAAAGAGGCTTTAAAAAGATATGAAGGAAACTTGAACCTACATCGTTCCGTAAAGAGTGTCTCCATTTGAAGAAGGAAAGCAACTTGTTAATGATTGTTATAGCTGATGGGTTAGTTTGTGCTAAGTCAAATTTATGATATTGCCGAGTAGTATGTTGGTATGACTTTAATCCATCCATGCTTCATAACTGTACATCAGGATCCCCAGTGTACATACAGACAAATATTTGGGATTCAGAGCAGAGTTAGACTTTTTAGTTTTAGTAATGTAGAGGTTGAAAGTGGTACTTACTACTTTTGTAATTTATTGTTGATTACAGCTTCAGTTTTTAAATATGACTGTAACTGTTAATTGGTCCAGTGCATAAAAGTTTACTGTATGGTTGCCAGGAATAATTTGTAATAACTACATGGTGTTTTAGAACTACTTTTTATTTTTATTTTATTTTATCTTTTTATTATTGCTTAAAGTATTACAAAGAGTATTACATATGTCTCCTTTTTTTTCCCCCCCGCCCTTGACAATCCCCTGGCCTCCCCTACCCCGCAGTGTCTTATGTCCATTGGTTATGCTTATATGCATGCCTACAAGTCCTTCGGTTGATCTCTTACCCCCCTTAACTGTAAGTCATCAGATTTTTAAAAAATCATTATTAATTTGCTTCCCTTTTCAGCTGTCTGAAGAGATGTGAGAAAAGGGTCTGCCTTAGCCTTGGAGTAAGGCCTACTGTCTAGTTACTAGTAACATAGAAAAGCTTCTCGTAAACCTGAAACATTTAGAAAACACTGGTTTGTTGAATTGGGATGGAAGTACAAAGGGGATCTTGGAGGTGGAGAGAGATGGGTATGGAGTGAGGTAACCAGACCTGGTGGTGACTAGAACAGTTTGCTTTGAAAAAAAGCAGGCAGATTCTAAGCCCTTTCAGGTGGCAGATCCAAAGCCCTGACCATGCAGGGAGCTTGATGTAAAGAGACTAGCCTCTAGAGCTAAGTGTGGCCGAGGGAAGGAGATGGTCCTGAGACTAGAGCAGCCATGGGCAAACTACGGCCCGCGGGCCGGATCCGGCCCGTTTGAAATGAATAAAACTAAAAAAAAAAAAAGACCGTACCCTTTCATGTAATGATGGTTACTTTGAATTTATATTAGTTCACACAAACACTCCATCCATGCTTTTGTTCCGGCCCTCTGGTCCAGTTTAAGAACCCACTGTGGCCCTCGAGTCAAAAAGTTTGCCCACCCCTGGACTAGAGCAAAGCTTCTTTGTTATGTAGCTTGGAAATACCAGCATTTCCCAGTTTCCACATAATTAAATTTTGAGTACTGGTGAACTGTTGGGTGGAGGCAGAGGGAGGATGATTTTTGGCAGCCTGTTCAAAATGAAAGAATCATCTCATTGTTTTATCAGTGTCAGTAAAATGTAGCCAAAAAAACAGTGCTTGTATGTATAGGCAAGCTATATTCCTCCTCCCCCCAAAACAATAGCAAAAAGGAAAAGAAAAACAAAGAAGCAGCAGACATATTCTCCCCCTTTTATTGACTTCTTTTAAATCAACTTATCCTTTTTTACCACCTTATTTTTCTACTTAATATTCTTTTCCTATATATTTACATTTCTTTTACTTCCAATGCAGTTTGAGGCAACACTTTGTTATGACAACTGAAACATCTTGAGCAATGTTTGTGTATTCATTCTTATGTTACCTTGATCAGAGCCACATTCTCCAGTGGCAAATGATGGGCTTATTTCCAGTGACTCTAGATTTAAATCACTTTCAGAGCAGGAACTGTATTTTTCTCTTGGTTTCTTCATCTAGCTAGATGCTGCTACTCATTAGTTTCTCTGTATTCCTGATGACTGTCCTTGAAGTCCTGTCCTAGAGAAACTAATGAGTAAAACATCTGTCTGTGTGAAGCCATTTTGCCATTTGTCTAGAACAGTGGTTCTCAACCTTCCTAATGCCGCGACCCTTTAATACAGTCAGTCCCTCATGTTGTGGTGACCCCCAATTTCATTGTTACAAACTGAACAAAATTAAAGCATAGTGGTTAATCACAGAAACAATATGTAATTATATATGTGTTTTCCCATGGTCTTAGGTGACCCCTGTGAAAGGGTTGTCCGACCCCCAGAAGGGTCGCGACCCACAGGTTGAAGGAATAGATGTGGGCATGCTCCAAGGAGGGAGAATGTGCTGGGTCCTCCATTCTGAAAGCTTTTAAGGGTGAAGTACTTAAGGGAGGTTCCAAGAGAGGATCTCAGTAGAAAATTCATCAGCTTTCCTGGTGGGGTCATTCAGGGTCGTGGTCTCCACTGATTGGTCAGAGCCAGGCCAGGAGTTCAGGAGTCATTGCAGCTGGTCCTGAGCTCAGCCGTGGGGCCCGGGTTGCGTGTCTGGTTTTTCTGTTTTGCCAGACCTGAGCTGAAACACAACTGAGGCCTAGATGTTATCCCTGGCCAAGTGATATGCTAGGGAAGGAAAGGTTACCCTCGGGGGCAAGATCCTTGTTTTTCAGGATTTTCCCATTGCTAGGCAGCCGGGGCTTTCTGCCCTGGTGACCTTCTGTACCTGGCCCATCATCCTTGCTCTGCTCATGTCTAACTGCTTACCACATTTCCACAGGACTTAGGAACTATCTAGAGCAGCGGTTCTCAACCTTCCTAATGCCGCGACCCTTTAATACAGTTCCTCATGTTGTGGTGACCCCCAACCATAAATTATTTTCGTTGCTACTTCATAACTTAAATTTTGCTGCTGTTATGAATCGTAATGTAAATATCTGATATGCAGGATGTATTTTCCTTGTTACATATTGAACATCATTAAAGCATAGTGCTTAGTCACAAAAACAATGTGTAATTATATATGTGTTTTCCGATGGTCTTAGGCGACCTCTGTGAAAGGGTCGTTCAACTCCCAAAGGGGTCGCGACCCACAGGTTGAGAACCGCTGATCTAGACGGTAGCATTTGATACTCTTGAGTTGATGCTACAAAATTCACTCCTTGTCCAGAACACAAATATTTTTAGTAATTTAGCTCTGGAATAAAATTTGGAATTTCCTCCAAGTATAACCATATTTCATTCTGAATTCACTTACAAATTTTAGTTTGTATTTTTAGAAAAACCTAAGAATTTTGATGGTTGAGTATTTCTTAGTGTTTTTTTGTCTTTTATTTTTCTATCATCATTGCCCAGATAAGTTTCTGTTGAATCATTGGGGAATTATGAAATTGGCTAGGGGCTGGGTGCATGAAGTTTTGGTCTCTTTTTATAGCAATAATGAATAAAACCGATTTCTATTTCATTGTCATTTTCCACAACTCATTCATTGCTTTTTTTTAACACTAGTTAATTGGATCTCCCAAATTTCCTTCTGAAAACAGGCCTTCAGTTTCCTCAGTCATGACAGAAATGATTGGATTGTTTCTACAGTATTTGTAAGCTGTTCTGATTTAATCTGAAAGACTTCCAGATGCCTTGAGAGGAACGATTGTCTATCATTATAAAACTACAGGCCCAGTGCATGAAATTCTGCTTAGGTAGGGTTCCCCGAGACCTTGCTAGTGATCAGGGCCCATCTGTGAGGCGACTGGTGGGGCAATCGGGGGTGAGGGGATGGGCGGCTGGGGCCTGCGGGCTGGGGGAAGCTCCTGCATTGAGGATTTGCCCCCGGTGGTCAATGCGCATCATAGCGACCAGTTGTTCTGCTGTTCATTCTGCCGTTTGGTCAATTTGCATATTAGGCTTTTATTATATAGGATGCTTTGCCCTGTGCCCATGTGGACTGTGTGGAAAAGGGTACACAGTTTTCCTTTTCCCAGAGCAGAAAGTTTTACAGTTAACAATTATAATCATTTGTTAACATGATTACATGTGGATGGGAGGGGCAATGGAGGGGAAGGAGAGGATATCGGTATTACTTTAAAAAATAAAGATAAATAAAAAAACATCAAATTTCTGATTCTTCATGTTTAATTTATGATCTGATGGAAAAAAAGAAAGAATGAATTAACAAATCCATGCCTAACAATCTGGTACAAAAACTATAAATTTGCTTGGTTAGCCAAACGTGAAGGAGGTTTAAAGATGATTTTAGAAGTGGCCCTGGCCGGGTGCTCAGTTGTTTAGAGCATTGTCCTGATATGCCAGGGTTGTGGGTGTGATCCCCAGTCAAGACACATACCAGAATCAACCAATGAGTGCATAAATAAGTGGAAAAACAAATTGATCTCTGTCTCTCTCAAAAAATGAATGAATGAATGAATGAATGAATGATTTAGAAGTGGAGTGCTTGCTGGTCCTCTCATTCAATAGAGGAGGGGCCTGGCACACACACAGGTGACAGTGACACAGCTGGCAGGATTAGAGCCATGACTAGGGCCACCAGTTTTCCAGCCCTTTCACTCTGCTTACCTTCCCGCTGGACTATACAGTCTCAAAGCTGCATTTTTCTTGCCAGCAAACTATTGTAGCACATTCATTTTAGATACGAAGCTTGGAAGCCCACACTGTGGGTAGGTTCACACTGAAATAAGAATTAGAAACCAACATTCCATTTAGGTCAGGGAGTACTGTTTGCTTCATTTAATCTGGTTTGTTTTACTATAAAACTTACATAAGCTCTTGCCCTGAGAGACAACATGCAGGGTTGCCTATTTGGTTTTCCCTTCACCCCAGGCTTCTCTGAGTCGCGGGGGGGGGGGGGGGGGGGACCGCCGCCAGCTTCAGAGGCTCCTCCGGGAGAGGATATTTCAGCGCTCTCCTGGTGGCTGGAGTCAGTGCCGGCAGGGTGACAATCGGGTTTCTTCCTTGGCTGGCTTCCCTCCATCAGACTTATGGGATTGAGAAACCACCGCCACATATGGGTCAGCTTTGGATTACAGAGGCCGGTCTGGTTGAGTCCTGCAGTTCCCTAGGGTCTTCATTGGCCCAAACACCCAAATCACCGTTTTAATCCAAGTATTACTAGAGGGAATATTTTCTTTGGAGTGTTCTTCAAGCCCTTGAACTGAGCAACAGCCAGTGAAGTCTGAGATATTTTTCTAACTGGAAAAAGCCTCTGTTTCATTAACCCTTACCTCATGAATCTTGCAGACTGTCCATTTAAAATATTGAGACCGTTAGCTTACAGAATATACACCATTATTTATCTGTCTTCATAAGCCCCGCCCTCTTTTTAGAATCTCTCCCTTTAGTCCTATGATTTCGCTCTAATCATCTTTTCTTTTTTTTCTTTCCTAAAGCCAAACCCACATTTAAAGGTTGTAAATGTTATTTTCTGCGGGTATTTGAACAGAATGTGTTTATTCTGATGACGATTTCAAAAGCAGAATTCTCAAGCAAAGATGAAAATCTGTAAGCAAAGCATTGCTGAACAACATAAGGGCATGATTTGGCCAAGAATTAACCACTAGTTTATTAGAGTTCGTTTGTTGTAATTAAAACAACGTTTGTGCTTTTACACACTAAGCGTTTCTGAAGGTGGGCGGGAATGGGGAGGGAGGAGGGAGGGAGCACTGGGGCCTTTGGAAATAAAGTTACAGGGATGTTTGTGAGATTTTTCCCAGGGTAGCATACAGTTATTACTCAGTTGTTAGGTGGCCACATCTTTTCTGCACATGCTTACATAGTTGTGTGGTCTGCCCTTGGCCCTTTTTTTCCAAGTTAAAGTTTAATGGTGCTTACTTTAAGCTTGCCCTCATTGTTTTCATTCATAGACTACTAATGACTCAAATCCTTTCTACCAGACGGGGATGACAAGGGAGGTTAAGAGAGACAGTTGAAAAATGAGAATGAAAGGACAGAGTCATTAAAATTTCAGAGGATCAGAGCCTAGAGAATATTGCACTCGCTGCTGGAGTGGAATCCCGAATGCAGATCTAGGAAGGACATGGGTTCAGTAACTAGTCGGATGTGCGATGGTGACTTTGTCAGATTTTTAGAAACTGGGAAATGCAGCTTAGCGCAGAGAAAAGATTAGGGGCTTACATTATTTTCGCTGAGGCGGCCATTAATCAGTTGTATCATTTTGGATGATGGATTTAATCTTGAAGTCCACACTCGGGAATATTCGGATTTTAAATAAATCTTTTCCCTACTCCATGAGTTATGTATCAATGTAAATAGTGTCTATGAAAACAGCTTGAAATATGAGTTGTTAATAACTTGGACCTCTGTTGCACGTTATGCCATGTTTTGCAGTCATTGCTTATTTGTTTCCCGTTGTAAGCTATAGGCTCCTTGAGGCTGTATGGCTTGTTTCAGGAGCCTTAGCATTCAGCACAGCTGGGTTTAATCATTATTATGAGTGAATGTTTGTATACATAAACTAATAGAGTAACAAACCAAAACAGTTAATAGGATTGGGGATATTGCACATTAATCATGAGAAATAATGTTGTAATTCTGAGTATAACAGTAAGAGAAGTGCTTGCTGGAAAAATTTTGGAGCAGTGATTTTACTGATAAAATTAAAAATGGATGGCTCCTGGAAACGTGAAGTAATTTTTAATTAAGCAGCTGGTATAGACCAGCTACTCTGATTTAATCATTGTTATATAGTGTGAACATAGATTTCAAATACTTTGTATTCACATTATATTCTGTGTTTCTCATACATACCTTGTTTCTAATCCAGTTAGATGTTAATTCTGATACTATAAAGGGTTATGAACACAACTGTAATTTAACTGTCTTAAAATACATTTTTACTGATTTCAGAGAGGAAGGGAGAGGGAGTGAGAGACAGAAACATCAATGATGAGAGAGAATCATCAATTGGCCGCCTCCTACATGCTCGACACTGAGCCCGTATCCCCGACATGTGCCTTGACTGGGAATTGGACCGTGACCTCCTGGTTCATAGGTCTACGCTAAACCAGAGCCAGGCAGGCCGGGCTGTAATTGATACAGGGCAATTGAAAATATCTCATTTAGTACCTGAAAATGATAACTCTAAAACCATGAAGTGAATGGGATTAAAGTTCATATTAGCTATTCAAATAAAAACAACAAAGTTTTTATTATATCAGAAAAAGCGCTTTTACTATTCATTTAGTGACTGATTTGTTTGTAAAGATGTTTGGATCTTGGCATCTGGCTTGTGTTATCTCGAGATACAGAAAATATGAATGGATGCTTCCTCTTCTCTGAGGCTCTGCTGGCTGCCTGTGCAGTCCTCTCCGCGGGGATGAGATGAGGACGCTCTGTATCCGTTATACTGCATGGCCCTTAAATCTTGCTGGAAGTGCCCCTCCCAGATGTCTCCTTCTGTTTTTCATTCTTTCGCTGCAGTCTTTACAAGTCCAGCCTGTGTGGGCACTTACCCTCATTCAATGTGCATGTGTTTTGCGGCTTCAGTTTAGGCAGCTATTTTTGAAAACAGAGCCTCTTGTGTATATTTATTTATTTGTTTTGAAATGCTCAGTGTCGCTAGAGAGCTCTGCAGATAATAGGATGAGGAAAGCCGTGGGGTGACTGAGATTCTTTTTTTGTCAAATGTTTCACTTCACTAGAGTCTTTGATCTCTACCATAGAAACTTACATTCAGGATTAAGGAGTCCAGGTTGATGGATGAGTTATTTTTTTTTATTTTAGTGAGTAAAATGCTGTTTTTCTTTACTCTCTTTTTCCTTCTCTCTCTTTCTCCCTTCCCTTCTTTTTCCATCCCTTTCCTTTCCTTTCTTGGCTTTCCCTCCTTCCCTCCTGCCCTCTCTTTCTCCCTCCTTCTCCTCTCACTCCATTCCTTCCTCCCTCCCTTTCTTTGTATTCTTGAGGATGTGATGTAGAAGGAATCCATGTAACATTTATGCCAGAGTTTTGCTGATTCTGTGTAAAGCATTTTAAGCAAATCCTGTGGCTTGGGGTAGAATGCATCCTATAATTTCCTGTTGGGGGAATGCATGAATCAGATTGTTATTAAATATGTATGGTATCCATTTTGTGGCCTGTCTCTAGTTTGATTTTGAAATCCTAAATTGACCACCCTTGCAACTCAGGATGCTTCTGGGTGTGTTTACTCCCTCCGGACTCCTGTGCCTCCCACTTAGAGGTGTAGACTCTGGATATCCAACGGAACCTCAGCGTTCTCCAGGGGCGATGCCATTAGAAAGTGAGAATTACCCTGAATTACTTCATACGTTTGTATAACTTTGAATAATTTGTATAACTTTGAATAATTTGTGGCCTTCGTGGATGAGCATAATTGAGAATTTATTGTCCTATTTTAGTAAACTGAATTTATATAAATCTTATCAGCCCTTGAGGATTAATGAAATTGTATTAGGAGTAACAGCTCATGTTTTACTGGTTTACTGCCCCCAAGCCTCAGATTACATGCTTTCCAGACCCCCAGCATCCCCGTTCTTACCTAGTAATTTTCGGAAATCCTCAGGGACTGTCTCATTCCCTCCCAGAGCAATTCCTCCTGCTGATGTCACCTCGGCCTGTCTGAAGCAGGCCGTTCCCTTACTGCTCGGCTGGGGAAAATGTTTTCCCACTGGCTGCGCAGAAGTGAGGTACCAGAATGTTGTACAGATTTTCAAAGAAAGCAGCGAAAATGAATGGCACAGTTCTCGTATTCCACCTGGATAATCTGTGGTGGCTATGGAGTGATTTTGTGAGAAGGATTTTTTGTGTGAGCTCTGCTGTCTTACATGTGGAACTACTGATCTTGGTATAAGTTTCCTGCAGTCATGGGCACAGTAGTATGGTTCCCGGCTGGTACGTAGGAAGCTGATGGAACCTGTGACATGTGGAGCAGGCAGTCGAGCTCCTCGGGCAGCGAGTACATTCCTAGCTGATGGCATGTCAAGGGTGCATGGATACCAAGGACACGTTGGACAACTCAGGGTGGACATTTTACCTGGAGCCATTTACTAGTAAAAAAGAAAAAAAAGGAATTATGCCAAGAGGGAAGGGAACACCATGAGTAAGAGGCCATGAGATAGACCCCTGGTCAGGAGTGGCTAGCCAGAGCAGAGAGGCACTCCCACATTAGAGAGAGAAGTCGTGGATGGAGGGGCCCTCTAGGGAATGAAGTCTCTAAGGAACCTGTGAAAATACCCGCAAGACAGGGGTGGCTTTAGTCATCTTCATGGCCAGAGAGCAAGAATACTTTAAGTGTTGAGCAAGAACTTGCCTGTAAGTTACCCCATAGTAATCCTGGAAATGTTTAGTAACAAAAAGAATGCGAAATGTGGTTTGTTCAAAAGAAAAGAAGTCAGCTAGAACGCACCTTAGACAGATCATAGATTCTCCCATATACCAGGTGGGAGGGGGTGGGAGGGGGTAGGTGGCGGGGTTAGAGGCTTTCCTTTCCTGAATGTCCAGAGAAGTCGTGGGGAACATCTGCTGTCTCCTTCTGAGAGCAGGTGAAGGACTGCTCCCACTGAGCAGATTTAGAGGGACAATGGGAGGTAAAGGTCGCCTGTCTTCACGTGGCATTCCCGGAGCCCTGCTATTTGGGGCACCTGTTGTGTTTGACACTATCAATCCTCAGGTTTCTTTTGGACCAAAGCTGACATATAATCAGTGGCAAAGCATGAGGGTAATGCCTTTCTCCCTCTGTGTTACACGTTGTAAGAGGATCCCAAACGATTAAAAAAAAATTCTTCAGTGCTTTGCAGAATTCAACGGAAGAGTTTTTACAGGCTTTCTTAGCACTTTCTTTATTCCAGGCCCTGAAAAGCTGAGCCAGGGACAGGTTTGAGAAATTGCTGTCCTACAGACTCAGCTGGTACGAACATGTTTTGTACTAGAAAGTACATCTCAAGTTTAAATATGCGCGTGCGCTGTGTCTCACCAAGAGGAGGACATAGTAAGTTACATTTCCCAGGCTTGACCAGCATTATACCCAATGGTCTTTTGAAAACACTGTCCATGACACAGCAGCACATTCAGGAGTGTCATAAACGAAAATACCAATTTGATAGTACCAGGAAAGGATACTAGACATTTATGATTAATACTAGAGGCCTGGTGCACAAAATACGTGCACTGGGGGCGGGGGGCTGGTCCCCTCAGCCCGGCCTGTGCCCTCTCACACTCCTGCAGTCTGGGAGCCCTCGGGGGATGTCCAACTGCTGTCTTAGGCTCATGGGGAGAGGGCCTAAGCCGGCAGTTGGATATTCTTAGCATTGCCGCACAGGCAGGAGAGACTCCCGCCCTCACCTGTGCACTTGCCCACTGTGAGCCCGGCTTCTGGCTGAGTGGTGCTCCCCCTGTGGGAGTGTACTGACCACCAGGGGGCAGTTTCTGTGTTGAGCGTCTGCCCCCTGGTGGTCAGTGCACGTCACAGCGACCAGTCGTTCACTGTTGGTCAATTTGCATATTAGCCTTTTATTAAATAGGATTGACAACCTGTGGCTATAATTGGAGTGTTGTGTTTGCTGCTGTAATTTGAAGAGCACAGGTGATTCTTCTTTTGCCATGAACTGAATGGTTGCTACTGACAGCGTGGACGTGAAGCCGCAGCATCAAAGTCAAATGATCCCTTGTTAAAAATGCAGAATTTGAGGCTTTGCCCAGTCCTACATGGGAACCTGCATCGGAACAAGATCCCAGGTCTGTCCTGTGCATCTTACAGTCTGAGAAGCCCTGATCTGGAGATAGCATCCCAAGTCATCTCCCATACCGACATTCTTGTCCAATTGTTGCTTGGATAGAATTTCAGCTTTCGGTGAACAGAGAATGAACTAGTTATCTATTTGGCCCAGCGCCAACTATAATAATCATGTCAGACAGTGGGACTGTCATCTGGCATTGTTGGGAAGTGGTCCACAGGCAGACAATTTGTCAGCCCTCGCAAGGTCAGCATCCTGCTGAGAGCAACCTCCAAGGGCACCACAGGTTACTATTTCAGAACCAAAGGGAAAAAGCAGAGGGAAACATTTTTCTTGGAACATAATTTTTTTCCCCTTCTCAAAATACTGTGAGTAATGAATGTATGGGGCAAGGGAAATATGTATGGGGCAAGGGAAATGTGGGAGGACCAGATTTATAAGTGTTTTTAAGTTCCATTAGTTGGGATTTTTTGTGCGGGCATTTTGGAGTCATATCTGCTGCCGTGGAATCCTTTTGTCCCCTATGTTCTAACCATGTGAACTTGGGCACTGGTCAAAGTGCCAAAGCCTGAGTTTCCATGTGTGTGAACTGAGGTCCATAACATGTAAACCCCACAAGGGGTTTAATCCTATTGCAAGGATTAAACCTGCTGTGCCCTCTAAGGCGTGGTTCTGTTTACTGTCATCAGTGTGTTCTCATGAAAATCATTAGGTTATTAAAGAAAGGTTTTTATTTATTTAATTTTTACTTATTTTATTTTATTTATTTTAAAATATGTTTTATTGATTTTTTACAGAGAAGAAGGGAGAGGGATAGAGAGTCAGAAACATCAATCAGCTGCCTCCTGCACACCCTCTACTGGGGATGTGCCCGCAACCAAGGTACATGCCCCTGACCGGAATTGAACCCGGGACCCCTCAGTCCGCAGGCCAATGCTCTATCCACTGAGCCAAGCCAGCCAAGGCTAATTTTTACTTATTTTAAAAAATTTGCCCATTGTTGGAAGTATGACAGCTGCTCCGCCCCCCCTCTTTTTTACACTATGGATTTCTGAGTTCCCCAAAAGAGACATGGCAATTCAAGGACAATGTACATAAATAGTAATTACCAAAAACACAGAACTGACTTAATTTAAAAGGAATCATCCACATTATTAGGACATTATAGCGTTGTATTAGAAAAACCGGTGTGTGTGTGTCAAGAAAATGCCAGACAGAACATTGCTGTAATGTGACTCATGCATGCATCATAAGCACAGATGGGCACGGGGAAGCTCAGGCTCCTGTCGCTGAGCTGCTGCTACTGCGAAGTTCTCGGTCCTCCTGTCTGTGCTGCCCTCCCTGATGGTTGCTTGTGGAGAGTCCTGTTTCTGCCCCTCGGTGCCAGGGCACCAGTGCCTGCCTATAGGTGGTTTCTGCTTTTTCTGGTCCACTGGGAAAGGATGGGGAGAGGCATTCTCAGCCTAAATATTTCACCTATAAATAGTTTGAATGTACCAGGAGCTAATTTGGGCACATGGCAAATACATTTCTTCAATGGGAAAATACACTCTATGCCTCCTATGCCCTAATTATTTTAAGATCAAAACTGACACAAGGGTGAACTTTTAGAACAAAATCCACTTGGAAACTGAGGAATTTCTTTTTCTCATTAACCAAATAGACCATTGAATGGATGATTTGCATTTTAGTGGACCTGGAAATTGGTCTCTGGCCTCCATGAGATCCATTTCCCCTCCTGCAGCCTGAGCTCTAAGCCCGTCAGAGTCACCCGGCCCGCTTGTCACACGGCTTTGTGACTCCATGCCCAGGCCACTCAGCAGAGCACTGGACTCCCTGTTAGGCACATGGCTCAGCTGGCACACTTAGGCAAACAGTAAGGGCTTAGGGCAGGGGTCCTCAAACTACGGCCCACGGGCCACATGCAAATACAAATATTGTATTTGTTCCCGTTTTGTTTTTTTTACTTCAAAATAAGATATGTGCAGTGTGCATAGGAATTTGTTCATAGTTTTTTTTTTAAACGATAGTCTGGCCCTCCAACGGTCTGAGGGACAGTGAACTGGCCCCTGTTTAAAAAGTTAGAGGACCCCTGTCTTAGGATTTCTGTGCGGGCAGAGGCGTTCTGTTTACTCTGCCAGGACTAGACTAGGAAGGATATAGCTGTCTGATGGCTCTCCTGCCGGGAGCTATAGGATGAGGCTGACCTTTTGGGCAGCAGCTTGCAGACTGGAAGAACCTGTTTTTTTGATGCTTTCTTTGAATTTCTGGGTCATCCAAACCTGAAGCTTGGCCTACTCCTAATTCTCCTGTTATGTGGATTGGTATGTTTCTGTCTCATTTAAACCACATTAAAGTGAGTCTTCTACTCCTTGCCATTAAAACCTCCTAACTAATACAAGAATTAGAATAAAGCTTGCCGAACACAAGTTGCAAGCAAAATCTTTTAGGATCTTGTCTTAATAAGAGTCATGAATTCTCTTAGGAATGAAAGTTTAGTTAAGGGATGTCTGCTAGAATCTCTGACAAGCTTTTATTGAATACTAGAAGCCTGATGCACAAAAATCGTGCACCTGGGTGGGGCCCTCAGCCCGGCCTGCGCTCCCTTGCAGTCTGGGAGCCCTTAGGGGATGTCCGAATGATAGCTTAGGCCCGCTCCCTGCGTGGAGCTATCAGTTAGACATTCTTAGTGCTGCTGCGGAGGTGGGAGCATCCACTGCGCTCGCCAGCCATGAGCCTGGCTTCTGGCTGAGCAGTGCTCCCCCTGTGGGAGCGCACTGACCACCAGGGGGCAGCTCCTGCATTGAGCGTCTGCCCCCTGGTGATCAGTGCACGTCATAGTGACCGGTCATTTGCCTTTTGGTTGATTTGCATCTTAGCCTTTTATTATATAGAATTGCAGCTAACTCCATCCTGGTTTCTCACAGATTATTGATTATGTTCTCTTACTGATATTCTTCCTTACCTCTCCTCTTCCACGCTGTCCTGAAAAGGTTAGCATTAGATGTGGTACCTGCAGGGGCACAGTGTGTGGGATGGAAGGAAGCAAACCTGCCAGAAATAAATTTCTTTCACTAAAAAAAAAGGCTGACCCTGAACCCAAGTAATTGATTCGGACATATGGCCTGGAAGGATTCTGAATTGATATGCTGGGCAGCAAGCTCGGTTCCTGTTCAGTTTACCAGAAACGAAGTGTGTGCTCAGCATGACAACCAACTGCAATGTGGGTTTTATACCCTGTAAGTACAGGATGCTGACAGAAATCTAATTCCACCTTTTTTGTGTGTGTGTGTGCGCATATTTCTACATCCCAAGTTGTCTAAATACCTATTCTTTTTTTGTCAAAGGTAATTTTGACTCTTTATGTTTTGTCTCTGCTGTAAAATTTTACATTGAAAATCAAATTACCCACAGTGGAAATTGAGGTTTGTACATTTTGATAGAAACAAACAGGACCATCCTGTTGCTAAAATTTGTCAGCCTTTGGGAGTTTTAATGCTTTCTTAGAGAATGATACTTTGTTCTCTCTACTAACTGTGTTTTCCAGTACTTACCAATATACAGATAAGGTGATATTCTGTTTTTCTAATGCTGTGTAACAAACAACTCAAATGTTGGTGGCTTGAAATGGCACCGTTTACTAGTACTTTGCCCATGAATCTGTAGTTTGGGCATGCTCAGTGGGGACACCGGCCCATGTTCAAGAGGTGGGGGACTGGCTTCCACTTTTTTTGTTTGTTTGTTCATTTGTTTTTTTAAAGCTTTCCTTTGGGTGTGTGTGTGTGTGTTTTAATGTGAATATTTTAGTATATTTTAAGTTTGTTTAAGTATGGGGGCTGTGTCACAGTGCTTAGCCAGGCTTTGAATGCAGTAGGAGTGGAATAAACTGTATTTTTAGACAGTGTATGCAGTGTACACTTTTACAACTTTTATTGGAGAATAATGTACATACCATAAAAATGCATTCATTTAAAGTAGATAATTCAGTGGATTTTAGTGAGTTTACAGAGTTGTTCAGGCATCAATACGTCAAGTTTTAGAATATTCTCATCACCACAGTGAAACCTCATGCCCTTTTACAGTCAGTCTGCAGTCCCATGCTACAACTAATCTACATTCTGTCTTTCTAGATTTACTTTTTTTGGGAATATTTCATATAAATAGAATTATACATTATGTACTTTAATTTTGGCCTTTTTTTTTTCTTAGCATAATGTTTTTGAAGTTCATCCATGTTGTAGCAAGTACTTTATTCCTTCTTATTGCTGAGTAATATTTCATTGTCTGGACAAACCAGTATTATTTAACCATTTACCAGTTGGTGGATATTTGAATTAATTGTACTTTTTGGCTACCATGAATAATATTGCTGTGGGCATTTGTGTACATGTTTTTATGTAGGCATACGTGTTCATTTCTGTTGGGTAGACACCTAGGTGTGAGGTTGCTGGGTTGAATGGAAAATATATGTAACTTTTTAAGAAAATGCCTAACAGTTTTTGTTTTAAGTATGTCCACCATCTGCAGTCCTGCCAGCAGCTTATGAAGGTTCTTGATGAAATAAATGTTTTAAAAGTGCTTTAAAGGTATTTTCTGGATCAAGTGAGAGCAGAGTTGTGGATTAATTTAGTTTGTGGGCAAATATATCTCTTGTCATTTTCAGGAACAGGTGGGTGAGGGTGGCCACTTTCACAAGAAAGATGAAACAGAAAAGGAAGAAAAATAAAGAGGGAAAGACGGAAAGATCCTTCATCCTGTGAACAACCACTGTTTCATTTTTGTTGTTGCTGATGATGTTTTTAATTAATTTAGGTTTTCTTTTACATTTGAGATAATTGACATAATATTATATCAGAGGTGTATAACATGACTTGATATCTGCATATGTTGCCAAGTGGTCAACACAATATGGCTAATTAACATCGATTACTGCACATAATTATAATTTTTTTCTTGTAAAGAGAACTTTTAATATATCCCCTAGCAACTTTCAAATATACAGTGCAGTATTATTAACTACTAGAGGCCCAGCGCATGATTTAATCGTGTGCGTGTAGGGTCCCCTAGGTCTAGCCTGCCATCAGGGCCATGTCCGCCACCCTGCAACACCTCTCACGCTCCATGGACACTGCCGACACTCCTCAGATTCTGCCGGCGCCCCTGGGGTGGGGTGGGGGCAGGCCCCGAGATGTGCTCCATGCACCTCCTGGTGACTGGTCGTTTGGTCGTTACGGCGTTATGGCCACTGGCCTTTTATAGTATAGTCACCATGCTATACATTAATTACATTCCCAGGACTTACTTTATAACTGAAAGTTGATACCTTTTGACACTGACTCATTTCTCCCAGCTCCACCTCTGGCAACCACCTGTTCTCTGTACCTATCAGTTTTTTTGTTTGTTTTCTAAGATTTCATATATAACTGAGTTCACATTGTATTTGTTCTCTGCTTGAATTACTTCAACTTAGCATAATGCCCTCAAGGTACATCCATGTTATTGCAAATGGTAGGCTCTTCTTTTAAAAAAAATCTTTATTGATTCATCCATCAGTGGACACTTAGGTTGTCAGGTTGTTCCCATAACCTGGCTATTATAAATAATGAACTTGGGAGTGTAGATACCTTTTCAAGTTAGTCTTTTCATTTCCTTTGGATACATACCCAGAAATGGGATTGCTGGATCTTACAGGAGTTCTATTTTTAAAAATTTCAGGGGACCTTCATACTGTTCTCCATAGTGACTAAACCAGTTTGCATTTCCACCAAGAGTGCACACAAGGCTCCCATTTCTCCACATTCTCTCCAGTACTTACTAGGTCTTGTCTTTTTTGATAATAGCCATTTTAACAGGCGTGAAGTGATAAGGTTTTGATTCCATTTTCCTGATGACTATTGATGTTGAGCTCTTTTCCATGCACTGGTTGGCCACCCCTATGTTTTCTTTGGAGCTGTAAATTCAGATCCTGGGCCAATATTTTAATCAGATTGTTTGTTTTTCTGCTCTTGAGTTATATAAGATTTTATATATTTAGGATGCTAACCCCTTGTCAGATAATATGGTCTACAATTATTTTCTCCCATTTGGTAGGTTGTCTTCGATTTTGCTGATGGTTTCCTTTGCTGTGCAGAAGTTTTTTGTTTATTTGTTTGTTTAGTTTGATGTAATTCTGTTGTAATTAACCTCGTTATTAATAACAGGAAAGGAGCAAAGGGAAGGCCAAATATTATAGGCATGTCATTTGGGCATCTTCACCAGGAAGCTAAAGCTTTACACTCCCCAGGGATTCACCAGTCTATTCCTGCCCTGCAGATCCCTGGGGGAAGGGACTGGGAAGAAAAGATAGACACATGCCCAGTAAAGTTGGGGTGAAGTCAGGAAGGTACTTGTCAGTCACACCTGGGAACGGGTCACTGGCCAGAATAGGCATGGCCACTGCAAGGGTCGAAATTGGGGATATTTAACCCCCAGAAGAAAGATATCGTTCTCTTGGGACTCTTGTTGCAGGGGGCATGCTTTCTTGGCTCCCCTCCATTCGCCCACATGGCCCACAGCCATGTTGACCCCCCCACCCCAGGACTAATGGACTGCAACTAGCCTGATGCTGAACTGGACCCAACTGCAATATGGAACAGAAACTTTGGACATTGGCTTTGCTTGTAGCTCTACTGAAACCCCAGCTATGCCTCCTCTACAATTGGACTCAGGGAAATGGAACTTTGAAAACCCTAGGATGAAATTTTTCAAAAATAAAAGTCACTCATCCTTGTCGTGGGGGGTCTCAGAAAATTATTTTTCTTGGGATACCATAAGAACTCCCCCCCCCGCCAGCACTCAGTGGGAAAAGGGATACCCCAATTTCCCCGATAACCGTTTCATTTGTTTACTTTTGCTTTTGGTGTCAAATTAAAAAAATCATTACCAAGACTGATGCCAATGAACTTATGCTGTTTGTTTGTTTCCAGGAGTTTCAGTTCTCATGTTCAAGTCTTTTCATCCATTTTGACTGACGCTTGTGTATGGTGTAATACAGGGGTCCAGTCTCATTCTTTTACATGGGGCTGGGGGTTTCACCTTTGATGGGAGGAATGTTAATGAATTTGAAGATAACGTTTTAAAATGAGGTAGATAGGTTTTAAAAATTACGTTACATATCATTAGGAAGTTGTGACAGTTTGTTGCATATGATGTTGTTTCAAGGGCTCAAAATCTTAGGTTTGGAAAAATAAAGTTATATATTCAATTTTTAATAGTTGGCCAGGTCAGTGCTTTCTATACAGTAGGCACTGTCTTAGCATTTTACAGTTAATCTCATTTAAACCTCTCAAGTCATCATTTTATATTCTGTATATGCACTCCCCTTAGCTATACATGAACACTATACGTATATACACTCCCCTTAGCTATACGTGAACACTATACGTATATACACTCCCCTTAGCTATACGTGAACACTATAATCTAATTAAATCCTAAAGACGCTTTTCTGCCACACCTTACTAAGGCGAAGGTGAGCTTCACTTTGTGCCTCATATTCTTGCATGAGTTTTCTGATGGTGGTGCTTGTTATTCTTAAACATTGCTTTGCATTGTAACGCTCCTTAAGGTCAATTTTCTTTGTGGCTAGTTTTATTTCAGAGATTTGAACAGATTAACATAAGATTCTCAGATACAATGATGTTGATGTGGAATCTCATGGTAACAGTACCTATAACAAACATAGTACATATTATAGTACATATATATGAGAAAGAATATCCCAGAAGGGATGTGATTTAGATATGTATTTATATATATTCTATATTATTTTTATATATTTGATTGAATTTCCAGTTGATAATGAGAGCTTAATTGCTCTTTCCTGCTTTTGTCTTCCTCCTTGTTTAAACCAGCATTTACCAAAAATAAATCTGACTTTGAATGAATTTCAACAGTATATTTGAATGTGTCTCATCATATATGTTTAGTTGTGGAGTTCTGGGCCCACCCTGCGCCTGTAATTACATAGTGTGATCATACAGCTAAAGGAAGAAATCTTTTATGAGATTTTGGGTCATTCATGAAAACCAAGACAAACTAGTAGATAAGAACACACTTAAAGAGTGGCAAATCATTAGGGCTTTGAAAATGACTTGTGGGAAATCAGTCCAATCTCACTCTTTTTTTTTTTTTTTTTAATCCTCATCTGAGAATATTTTTCCATTGATTTTTAGAGAGAGTGGAAGAGAGAGAGGGAAATACAGAGAGAAATATTGATGTGAGAGAAACACATTGATTAGTTGCCTCCTGCACGTGCCCTGATCAGGATCCAGGCCGGGGAGGAGCCTGCAACCAATGTACATGCCCTTGACCAGATTCAAACCTGGGACTCTTCCCTCCACAGGCCAGCGCTCTATCCACTGAGTCAAACTGGCTAGGGCTCAAATCTCATTCCTTACAGATGAAGAAACTGGATTTCAGAAAGTTCTAGTGACTTTCTTGAGATCATTCAGCCAGTTATTGGTAGAATTTAATCATCTAATTTCATAACCCAGATTTTTTTCCTAAAATATTCACAGATCATCTTTTAGTTTTCTATGCTAATGAAATTTTATAGGTAGTATAAAGCAGTGAATTAAAACTTGCTGTTGGTTCCTGAGAAAAGGTTAGAATGTTACATATTTAGACCTTTAAAGGTAGAACACAGAACTTTCCGTCACGGAATATCAGCCCTTTGCTAGGTTAAATGTCAATTTTTAGGTCTGAAATTCATTGTGCAATATTTATGATGTTAGGAGAACTCTGAATTATAGGAGAAATGTAAAGTATAGTTGGGAAATATCACTTTTAAATTAGTAGGAACTTATGTTCCATTTTTCACTCTGCCTTTCCCAGTTATTTAAATTTACAGGTAAATTTTGCTATAAATGGTGCTTTGTAAAATTTGTTATGTATTTATGCTTTATTGTTTGTTGTAGAATGGTTTGGGTTTTCTTTTAAATATAAAACCTGATTGAGACATGTAAGTTTTCTTTAAGTTCAACTAAATGAGAAACCTCAAAACATACATACATTTTTTTTAAAAAAAGCACTAGATATATGACTTTTAGAACTTGAAGCACCATGCTGTTATTTTCAGCCTGTCACTTGTGTACAACTTGAATGTTAATGATTGCTTTCTACTTTCTATTATTTGCAGGTAGATATATCATAACTAAGTATTGGTTCTGGTAAAATATTTTTGGTTTTAAGTTTTTCATATTTTCATGAGAAAATTTATAGCCCTAGCCAGGTTGGCCCAGTGGATAGAGTGTTGGCCTGCAGACTGAAGGGTCCTGGGTTCGGTTCTAGTCAAGGGCTCGTACCTCGGTTGCAGGCTTGATCCCCAGCCCTGTTCGGGGTACCTGCGGAAGGCAACCAGTCGATAATGTTTTTCTCTGTCTCTCCCCCTCCCTTCCGTTCTCTCTAAAAATCAATGGAAAAATATCATTGGGTGAGGATTAACAAAACAAAAAACAAACTAACAAAAAAGAAAAATTTTAAAAATGTTAACTTTATTTTGAAATAATTTAATATTTGATGCTTTTAAAAAAACACAGCTCCTTTGACTTTATATGTTAATTTTAGAACATTTGAAAGAGAAAAAATTTGACCAGGATCCTATCTACTCCTTGGCTTCCATATACTGCCACTTGGAAGGGTTTTTTTAAAAGGTCGGGGGGAGTATTTTAAAGAAGAGTAGCTGAGGCATTCATCTTTTATGTTTGTAATATTTTTTTTTGTGGTAGAATTTGTGTAAATCAATGGAGTGCCTAAATGTTTCTTGATAATGTAGAAGAGTATTTAAAGTTATCTTTAAATTTGTATTAAATTAAGGAGAAATATGAGTTTATTCCAATTCAACTAGATACAAAGCACTAAGTTAGTGTTGGTTCTGCTGTTATTTATTTGGCCAATTTTAAGCTCTTTAGGCCTTAATCTCCTTCCTCCTAGAAGGGACAGTATTAGGTATGGTTATCTCAGTGCTTCTCCTTAGCTCTACATTATTTTCTATCTAGTTTAGTGTTGCCATGTGAAAAATAGATTCAATTTGTAGATATGCCATAAAATAGTCTCTTGACAAGTTAAGACATCTACACTTTTGTGTATACATTTACTTTATAATTAGATGACATTGAATGTGATAAATGGAGGTCACCACTCAGGTTAATTCAGATACAAAAATCCCCTTTCTTTTCACCCTGGAAAGTAGTTGCTTTAACTTTGTAAGCTCCTGTCTGTGTACAGTCATAGATAAAATCTGTGAGTATTTGGGTTTATTTGATAGGAAGTTCTTAGCAGTTAATACCAAAGGGTTTTTCCATCGTTCTTTTTATTGTTTTTTGGTTTGTGCAGCAGTTGAGTTCAACTTAGGGGCAGAACTTCCCTTCAACTCTCAGTGGATTTCACTCTTCTTTGCAGTGACAGTGGCTTTAAAAACCTCAAGAGGTACAACCCTTTCATGAATAGTAATGGCACATAGTGCAAATATGAAGTCTGTTTACAATATAATTTGCATTCCTTTGTCATTATCACATTCTGTATTTCTATGACGGTGAACATAGAATAAAATCTAAAGTTCATAACATGCTTTTCAAGGCTTGCCCTGCTCTGGACTCTTCTTTAATCTCACACCATCCTCTATGCTCTACACATGCTGGCCTTCTTTTCCTTCAGGGAACATGTCTAGCATGTTTCTGCCTTAGGATGTTTACATTCGCTGTTCTCTCTGCCTGAAACTCTTCTAGATCTTTGAGTGGCATCTGGGGGAGGTGGAGAGTTCTCTATAATTCATGACTCATTTCCAAGGTACCACTTTATTGAGCCCTTTGCTTACCACACAATTTAAATTAGTATCCCTGCTGCCGTGTGTGTGTGTGTGTGTGTGTGTGTGTGTGTATCACATCAACATTTGTTTTCTTCACTATCTGGTATTATCTTGTATAATTTTTGCCTATTTGACAGTCTTTCTGAATTATAATAGTGCTATCAGAGCAGGGCCTTTGCATTCCCGGATACATATTTGTTTAAACTTACTAATTCTAGCCTAATGGTTGAAATATTATAAACTAAATCATTGGAAATCTCTAGGTTTGGTTTACAAGCTATTCACTTGTGATTCATTTTAAATTTTCACCTGACAAGTTATGAATAGACTATGTTGCTTCTGGTTGGACAGTACCCTTCCCTGGGTCTGTACCTATTAATCCTGCATTCACTGTCATCTTTGTATGTACACTGAGAATGGAGGCATTAGTACCATGTTATGCTTGATATGAGCCTGAACTATAATAAAGTTGTCATTAGTTTTAACAAGAACCTACTCACATTTTGCCACACATGTAGGTATAGTAGGCAACCATTTTTTCACCAACCCTATTCTCTCTCTCCTTCGACCATCCATAGCTCTGAAATCCTCATCATTGGATTGTCCTGCTGTCTTACATGTCCCAAGGGCAGCTAGCTCTCAAACTGCAAGAAGCAACTGAGTGTTTGTCAGTAAATCACATTTACTAGTTGTTAGGAAGCATGGAGAAAGGTCTTGATGAAAGAAAGAAACCATAAAAGTAACATTTTATTGGTGGACCAAGGACTGTGGTAATGGTTGAAAATATTTAGGATTCAGGTCCCCTGGGAGCATAGTCCATGGTGAGGGGGCTTCTAAGGGGAGGGGTGGTGGTGGTGGTGGTGGTGCTGGTGGTGGTACATGGCCTAAATAAACTCACTAGGAGAAAAAAG